TGTCCTTCTGATTCTTATTACTGAGTGGTTTGCATCTCAGTAATAAGAATCAGAAGGACAGATTGAATTTTGCAAATAAGAACAGAGATGACCCGCAAAAGTTCTTGAAGACAATCGTATGGACTGATGAGACCAAGATTAATCTCTACCAAAGTGATGGAAAGGCCAAAGTGTGGAGAAAGAAAAGAACTGCTTATGATCCGAAGCTCATCTGTGAACCACGGTTGCAGGTAATGTCATGGCTTGGGTGTGCATGGCTGCTTCTGGAACAGGCTTGTTAATATTTAATAGCTATGTTTACATGCACAAAATTTTTTGATCGGATTGAAATGTATTCGGATTAAATAATCCGAATGTACTGTTTACATGGACACAATCCGATCATGAGAAGTGTTTACATGCACCGCAGTTTTATTCAGAATAAAAGTCCGGACATGCGCAGTGCTGTAAACTTTCAGCTCTACTTCCGTGTTACAAACGTAAACAAAGCTCCTCTGTGCGCTCAGGACGGACCCGTGTCAGCTTTTCATAACGGTAGAGACGTCGTTACTCGTCTCCTCGGTTGAGCTGCAGCCTGCAGATGAAGCAATACGTGTTTTTTATTTTTATTTTTTGCGAAGCAACGTCTGCTGTTTGCCCCTTTTTCATCAGTTAAGAGAGTGAGGAGGATAAGTTCTGCACGGTGCAGCGCAGCTGGAGCGATGCTTTCCCACCTCCTCTAACCAGGTAAATGAAAGTCAGAAGACATGCGCACACAGGTCAGTTTTCTACAATCAGAATAAGATGATCCGATTAAGTGTTTACATGCACGTCATTCCGATTATCAATCGGCATAACCCACCCTTTTCATTCGGATTAAAAATTCATTCAGATCGAGCTCAATCGGATCAGAATAATCGGAACGGGCTGTTTACATGACGCATTTTTATTCCGAACGGCTGTTTAATCCGATTACTTTTGTCCATGTAAACGTAACTAGTGATGATGGAACTGATGATGGTAGCAGCAGCTAATGAACTCTGAAGTGTACACAAACATTTTGTCTCCCAAATTATAGAGAAACATATCCAAACTAATGAGGAGTAATTTTCTCCCATGTTTATGTATGTCTCTCTCTGAACGGATGTTCTAAACTGCAAATTCCTAGTCTGTGTTTATCACTGACAATGTCAATAAAGCTRTTTCTGATTCTGATTCTAAAAGCCTGCAACAGCATTACAAATAAAGAATGCAACAGTTTGGTGATGATGATGGGTCGCAGGCTTGAGGCAGTCATTGCAAGCAAGGGTTATGTCACTAAGTATTAAATGTTATTTACTTTAAGATAATTTTTTCCAGTACTTTTGCTCACCTAAAAGGCTGTGGTGTATTACTGAGATAAATCCCAGGTGGTTTAACACATCAAACTCACACCATCATGAGACCTGATTGAACTTTATATTGATTTCCAGGTCAGATGATGGATCTACTTTTAATATTAAAATGTGAAATCAATTACTTTAATAAATACTAATAAATACTACAAAAGAGTCTTTTTTAACTTTATAAACCTTTAATTATGATAATTCCTGAAAAAAAGTATTTGAATCTTGTTTCTGGATTGAGCAAAGATTTTAACTTACTTTAGTGGAGCAACAAGTTGTTTTCAGTGATGTTATGTAACCTCTCTTTTTTTAATTTCATGATGTATTTTGTGATCCATTGTTGCAAAATTAAGGATGTTTTTAAAAATATTTATTTCTTTAATGCTTTTTTTAATGTTTGACTAACTAGTTTTAAAACTA